GAGTTGCCGCCATGTGATTGGCTGATTAGAAATCAAGTGTTAACGAGCAGTTGGACAGGTGTACCTAATAAAGTGGCCGGTGAGTGTATATAGTGTATTATATTGTGTTTTATAATGAACTAGGCTTAGTACTACATAAAACCTGCCTTATTATTGTGCATTTTTGAGACATAMCTGAATAATAATAAGAAGAAAAGAAAAGTATAATTAACCAAAAATCTCACAACCCCCCGCAGTTCCTCTACAGATCCACTAGGGGTTGCAATCCCATCTCTGAAGACCTCTGATCTAGATATTAAATCATCCATTTTAATCAATAAWTTTTTTTTATGACGAGGATGTTGTTTTAAAGGCAATTGTACACAAATTGCAGACYAAATTCTTGCGCATTTCAAAGCAAAAATCAGAGTTTTTTAGGGTTATGTGAAGAAGTGGTGAATGTTTAACATCTTACCTGTTGTGGATAAATATAGCATAACTCTGACCAGATGAATGAGCTAACAGCTAATCTGAGTGGAGCCAAAACTAAAGTAAGTACGATTTCAAATCTGCTTCAGTCTCAAATATTTCATTATTTACACAAAAGCTGTTCTACACATTTTTTTACACACCTCTGAAAAGCCTTTCATGACAGAGTTTTAATTCACAACGGCCGCCACAGCTACATCTTGTGAGATCTTTTGAGGCTGGGAGTAACGTGTGTGTTGAGGATCACTTTCGCCTACTACCACAACAAAATTTAGCTCAAATTTTTGCTAAACCAACTGAGTTTGAACCATTTCTGTATTAGCTGAGGGGAGATGGCTTCAGCATTCAGTATTTTGGATTTATCCTGATTCCAAAATATCGTTGAAGTTGTCCTGCCGACAACGCCAACTGTTATGGTATTATTTATTTAACAAAGACAGAAATACATGGTCCAAGAATGAAGGTACTCCGTGAGATGATCAGCTGAGTTTTATTGCAAAAACAGGAAACACAGAGAACAACCTGGCCTGTCTCTGTGCCTCTGCTTCTCTCTGTGTCTGTCTCTCCACACTGTCCACTGTTGAACGCTGTTGAGAGGCCTCATATACGTATTAACAAACACCATTCTGTCATCTTAGCAAGATTTGATACAAGATCAATGGAAAACACAAAGATTAGCAGTCTGATGAAAGTTTAGCTTTAACTCAAGTTTCATACCCAGGAATACAGACTGGCATGAAGAGCTCAAATAAACAAAAAATAAATAAATAAATAAATAAATAAATAAATAAATAAATAAAAGACGACATGGCAACAAGAGGACATAACAGAGGAGTAACACGAGGAGGCCCAGACTCGGCATGATAGCCAATAATGCTCAAACGGTGAGTGAATGGGAGTTGATGGAATAAATAGACAGAGGTCGATGGGAAGAGTGGCTGCAGCAGTGAGAATAAATAACACAGGGAGCAGAGACTGAGGACAAGTGGTGACACAAAGCAAACACAAAGACAAGTGACATAAGACAAAAAAGAGGAAATAAGCCAAATAAACAACTAACAAAAGCCAACAACGTGTTGTTGAGCTAACCGAAACAAATTCATGCTAACCGCTCAGACTGACTGTCACTATTTGCATTTCAACTACTTTTGATCATAAACCGAACACTTAACTGTGTGCTGCTGAGCTCGGCAGGGTTTAGCTGATGCCTCTCTGCATTAATGGCGCAGTTATAAAGTAGTTAATGTGCAACCAAGCAGAGCTGGGTCTCATGCAATATCTTGATGTGGACTTTTAGCTTTTGCCTACGTAGCAGCAGTTTGAGGTGGATTAAGCATTACAGCCCATTGTTCCTGCCTGGAGAACTCTTGCTCTCGTTTTTTTTTTCCCTTTTGACCTTCAACTTGAGATATGAGAGGACTGCAGTTTGTCGTGCGCAAGTTATGTTAGATTTAGTATTGAGTCTGTGACTGAACCGTAACCGAACCTGTCAAAGGTAAGAAAAAACTCATTCTGTTCAGTTTAAAATGTTTAGTTGTAACAGGTTAGTTATTGAATAGTTCTGTAAGAGGGTCTACGACAAATGYATTTAATAGACATGTTTATGATTTGTTTAGGGGCGTAGAATAAAAGAACTTGATAAATTAGTTACATCTGTTGCAGAAATACCAGCTTTAAATTATTAACTTGTTTAATAAAACTCCGCAAAAACTCCTCAAAACCAGATTTTTGGTGTTATTTCAGGAATGGGTTTGAATACAGTGAGTTCAAAGCGGACATAAAGGGTTCAGGGACCAGATTTAAACCCTGCTCACACCTGCCTGTAGCTGACAGGTGGTGGGTGCAGGCGYATTAAAAGCTGAGGTCAGAGTAAATAGGAGGACAGGAAATTGCAGGTGCGCTCAGAGCTGGGTGTGGACGCGGGCCGAGCCCTCCCCGACTCCCACACACTGACAGGAGAGGCTGGCAGCACKTTATCATGACGTTATCTAAAAGATAAATCTGTCCTTCCTGCGTGTAGGAGACGCCCAAACGTTCATTTCGTCCTGCAGAAGAACAGGTAAGAAGCATTTAAAATGATTTTMCCTCCTGTTTTGTTTCACTTACTCGAATCTCGGCAGTTTTGTGACGAGACGTCTTAAAACACTCGTTCAAGAGGATAACTTGAAAACAGACTTTCGGAGAATATTTTCCATGTGATCTGGATATTAGGATAGTGTAAATCTTGGGATGCGTCAGGGTGCAGCAGTGGAAAAACTCATTGTGTCTCTGAGTGAAAGGACAGACAGGTAACCCGCCCTACCTGTCTCAATAAAGGATTATTGTCCTCTTTTTCATCAGCTGTTTCTGAGCACATCAATCGCTGAACAAAACGAATGTTTACGTTACAAATATACGTGAACAAAAGTCACAAATTGAATGAAGCAAAGATGTCAACAGACGTGAACGTCAGCTTCGTTTCAATAAGGATGTTTATTATTAGTTAGGATAAAATTATAGTTAATTATTTATTATTATTATTTACTATAATTATTTTACCAGATGTAGCTGAAGGGCTCGTTGTTTTTAGTGTTTCGCCTGCGTTTTTTTAGGGTTTTGGTGGAAAAAAAGTGCTTTTATTGCAGCAAAACTGACTTTTTTTTTGTTTTTGATTCAGATCTATGTAATGTAATTTATCATATCTGAGCATTTGGAGGGCTAAACGTTTTCCTCCTTCATGGTTCAGTTAAAAGCACCTAAACTTAACCTACAGCTAAAGAAATGGGAACTGATAGCGCTACAAGGGCCTTTTTGCCGAGATATCGSTTGAATGATTCCTCTAAGTTTTGTCTTCTTTTTTTTAATAACCTTTCTTTTCTCTCATATTTGGTAAGTTAATTCTCAAGAGCAGAGGGCTGCTATTTAAGGCATGTGGGCAGCAGCTGGGACATTTCAACTGAACCGTCAACCTTCCAATCCCACTTTCTCTAACCTCTGCAACACCGCTCCATTTTAAGCTTAAAACGACTGATGAGTTCAATATATATAGTGAATAATAATTAAAATAAAACACTTTAAGTTGGTGCAATAACAATTCAAACTGAAGTAAATGTCAATTTTTGGACAAAACATATGTAAACAATTAAATGAATATAAATGTGTATAACAGAACTTAGCACAAAAAGTAAGTAAAATAATAGATTTGTTGTAACAATGTTTTTTGGCAATAAATCTTATATAAATGGAAATCTGGTTCAATTCCCTTTAAATGGTGCCACATTTGTAAGGATCATGCATTTATGGGATGAGCAAACAACTTCCTTTGCTTTTGCTATTGTTTTTTTTTTGAGCTTCTCTAAAAAGTCATTTAAAAACAGTTGAGCTCCTTATTTATTTGATTAAAAAAACACTTTAAGCAATAGATGAAAAGTTTTTATTTAAGGTTAAGTGATTTCTGGACGTTTGTTTGTGATGTTAAATATAAAGTCCTGAACCTGAACTGGAGGAGAGTCTCCTCTGATACAATGTCCAGCTGGTCCAGTTCCATCACAGACACACCTGGGATCCACCTGCGGCACAGATAAAGCAGGACTTCCTGGTCCTCGTCCTCCTGTCCTCAGCTGGACTCTCTCCTCGGCTCTTAAAGCTCGGCTGATGGAGGCGACGACTCATTAGTGCAGCTTCACCGTCAGAGCGGCAGAGCTTTTCAAAAGCTTCTGCTGAAAAGATTTCTTCACACGGCGGACGAGTCAAACTGAAGCAGCTTTTATTTTCTTTGAAGGAGTTCGAAATGATGTGCTCTGACTTGTGATGTTTAGTTTTTAACTCCAACTTTKGATGAACTTCTTTTTCAATGATTTATAAAAGAAAAAATGGTACTTTTTTTCTTGTTTACAACAAGATCATCTCTTTAAACGCAAAGCTTTCATACTCTTTAAGGACAAATATTACATTATAAACCTTTTTTTTCTCTTTGCTCTTTTAAATCACTCTAATTTACATGGTTTTAATCATTTTTAAAACTTTTGTTTCTCTTTTTATTTGTTTAATTTTTGTAGAACACTGAATTTATTCAGAGTAAAGAGGAGAGCTCTGCAGTACTTTAGTCTTAAAGCATTTAGTCTTAACTTTAGGGACTTATTATGATATTTAAAGTAAAACAAAACACTAATTTTGTTTTCTAACACACTCACGTTTTCTGCGAATCCATTAGAAATCTGCTGATKACATTATAGGAATATAAAAGTATAATAAATGACCATTAATGTCAAGAAAAGTGGAAAAATTAGCATGTGTTGTGATGTTTGAATCATATTTGTTAACTGTTTTTATTTATCATGAAAATAAATKAGTCAAATGACTCTTTTTGTTTGTTTTAGTTTGAGAAAATGATGAACGATAAGGACAGAGACGCATTTAGAAACGTCAGTCAGAAGCCCGGCCTGCAGATATGGACCATCAGCGTAAGTCTGTTTTAAGTGAAACCTTGGTTTTCTGCTTTTAAAGCAACAGTTCAGATCTTTTTAAGTGGAGTTCTGTGAAACGACTGTGAAYGGTCACTATCTTACCTGCTCCAGATRTCTCTTTAAAGCACTTTYCTCACAGATCCTGACCKCAAAATGATCAGAATCTTTGTCRYTTGCTTTCTTTAGAAGATGCAAATGGTTTCGGTTCCGTCCCGAGCCTTCGGGAACTTCTTCGAAGGAGACTGTTATGTTGTTCTAAACGTGAGTTCAGTGGCGGCTCCTTTACTCCAGAGTCTGTTTGATCAGGTTTGTGCTCCGGTGTGAGATTTAAACACGTTTCATTCATAACTCGGGACAGATAAGTAAGGCTCGGGGTTCGGGAGAGTCCGTGGACATCCATTACTGGATCGGCGCCGCCTCGTCTCAGGACGAGCAGGCCTCCGCCGCCATCTACGTCACCCAGCTGGACGAGTACCTGGGCGGGAGTCCGGTGCAGCACAGAGAGGTGCAGGGCTACGAGTCGCCGCAGTTCAGGAGCTACTTTAAAACAGGCCTGATGTGAGTCTGAAACACAATTTACTTCTGTTGTAATCTTCCTGAGTCTGGGTTTTACTGCGTAATCCTGATTAGGACACAACATACATTTGTTGTTTTGAGGATTAAAAAAAAAACAGGACGTTCTCCAACCCGGTTCATTAACTTTTCAGTTTTTATTGTGTGTGTGTTTGTGACCGTATAAGGCCTGATGTGTCAGTCCAGCTTTTTATTGCGTCTGAACTTTGGTCTAATCTCTCCGCAGCTACAAGAARGGGGGCGTGGCCTCGGGTTTTAACCACGTCGACACGAACGTCTACAACATCCTGCGGCTGCTGCGCGTCAAGGGGACGAAACACATCACAGCGACAGAGGTTTGTTTTAACGCTGCTGCCACAGAAACTGTCTGAGGAGAGCTGGGATTAGGGTTTCACAGGGATTAGGACAACATTCTGTGCAGTTTTTATTCCAGCTGCTCATGTGTGTGTCTCTGTGTGTGTGTGCAGGTTGAGGTGTCGTGGAACAGCTTTAACAACGGAGACGTTTTCCTCCTGGACATGGGTAAAAATATAGTTCAGTGGAACGGCCCTGAGAGCAACCGCAAGGAGAGGCTGAAGGTAATCCTGTAATCCTCACAGAGGGACGTCAGAAACACSAGAAAAATAAACAAACAGTCACACATTCTGAAGTTTTGTAATGATGATGAACCAAACAACAAACAAACAAATTAAACCAACAACAAAAAATGAACAAAAGAGCAGATAAACCTAGAAAATAACAAGTTGAAAGACAACAGATAAACGAATAAACAAAAGAAGAAACAACTGACTGAACCAACAAACATCTGGCCAAACAAATGCACAAACAAACAAGTAAAAAAATAAAAACCCAAACAAAACAAACAACCTACAGAAAGAAATGATCAACAAATAAAACAACGAACAAATAAATAAATACAAACAGACAAATCAAGAAATACATGAACATAGAGACAAATAAACAAAGAAAATAAGTTGAAACACAATACATAAACAAAAATACAAACAAAAGAAGAAACAAGTGAACGAACCAGCAAACAAAACAACTGACATACAAACAAAGAAATGAACAACAAATAAAGCAATTACCAAACAAGTCAAACAAGAAACAAACAAGTAAAAAGCCAACAAAACAAACCAACAGATAAACAAAAGAAAAAACAGCAACTGAATCAACAGATAAACAAACAAACAAATACACCAATAAACAAAACAACTGACCTATAAACACAAAAATGACCAACAAAAAAAAGCAATTAACAAATATGTCAAACAAAAAAACAAACAAAAAATCCAACAGATAAAGAAAAGAAAAACACAAATGACAGAACAGATATAAACAAATACACAAGCAAACAATCAAAACCAAACAAAACAACCAACTTGAAGACAAATAAAGAAAATGATCAACAAATAAAACAATCAACAAAGAGACAAACCATTGAAAAAATGAACAAATAGTCACATAAACCAAGAAATAAAACAAAAAACAACAACAACTACAAAACAAACAGCAAAACAAAATGAACGAACCAATAAACATATAAACAACTAGACAAACAAACTAAAAAGTAAACATGGCAACTTAACAAACAACTTACAAACAAATAAAATGCCCAACAAACAAACAAACAAACAAACAAACAAACAAACAAACAAACAAACAAACAAACAAACAAACAAACAAACAAACAAACAGATAAAGCAAGAAATAAACCAAACAACAAAAATAAATAATCATGTTTTCATAGTTGAAAGAACGTGAGAATAAAAACTCTTCTCTACAGATGTTTCTTCTTCTGGTCTCCGGCTGCAGGCGGTCCTGTTGGCTCAGGACATCCGGGACAGAGAGCGAGGGGGACGTGCTGAGATCTCGGACGTGGAGGGGGGACACGAGAAGGACTCGCCGGAGCTGATGAACCTGATGACAGCGACGCTCGGCCCGAAGCCCAGCCAGCTGAAGAAAGCCGTTCCCGATGACACGCCTGAGGAGGCGCAGGCCGGCAGCGTCAAACTCTACCAGTAAGAACTCAGATCATCAGCGCCGTCAGATGTTCCGCATCATGATGTCATAATCTGAATAATCTGACTTCCTGCCAGTGTTTTTGATGACTGTGGGAATATGGTGATCAAGGAAGTGGCCACACAGCCTCTGTCACAACACCTGCTTCACTCCGGCGTAATTCTTATTTTTTCTCTTATTAAATCAGGTTTAAATTTTTAAAAAAGTCCTGTCTCGTTGATTATTGTCTCTTTTCTCCCCTGGTTTTAGGACTGTTACATCGTGGACCACAGAGGCTCCAGTGTGATGGTCTGGAAGGGCAAAAAGTCCTCAAAGGAGGAGAGACAGAAAGCCCTGAACACAGCAGTGGTTAGTCCTKAAATCCAAGCTGTGGATTCATCATCAGTTTTAAAGTAATCACCTGTGTTTTGTTATTAACCTGGACCAACAGGGTTTTATTAAAGCCAAGAACTACCCGTCCAGCACCCCCGTGGAGGTGATGTCTGAGGGGGGAGAGTCGGCCATGTTCAAGCAGCTCTTTCCATCCTGGAAGGAGAAGGACCAGATTAAGGGTCTGGGGAACACCCACACTGTCGGAAAAATAGGTGACTCGGTTTTCAAACTTTAMGCTTATTGTAAATATTTTCTTCTTGATCTCTCATTTCATTCGTTTAAAGCAGTAGTTTGGATCTTTCCAGGTACAATTTTGTAGAATAAAAAAATAAAATTAACATATTAGTTGTTGATTGGAGTTATTTAAATGATTGGAAATAGAGTTTAATTCTGGCTGGACTGATGAACTAAACTCAATTTTTCAAAATTGATGTCAGTAAAAMCGTTTTCTACAGCAGGTAAGATATTTATTGCTCATTCAGTTTGAACRGAACCTCACTTCAGAAATGTGAACTATTGCTTTAAGTGTGTTTATATTTATTCTCAAACACAAATATCTGAGAAAAATTCTGACTTAATCTCAGAATGTTTACATTACGCTTGAGTTTACTGAAAAATTCTAACTTTTGATTCAGAATTGTAAAATTTTGAGATGAAAGTCAGAATTTTATTTTTTGTCTTTTATCTTAAAATTCTAACTTTTTTTCAGAATTTTGACTCTAAACTCAGAATCTCAGAATTCTAAGAATAAAGTCAAAATTCTAACTTTAATTTAAGAATAAAAAAATCTCACTCTTGTTTGCCAAATCCGACTTTTCCCTATACTTCTAACTTTAATCTCACATTTTCAGAATACTGAGAAATACTGAATTGTGAGATTTTGAGTTTAAAATCAGAATTCTTACAAAACAAAAGTCAGAATTTTGAGAATAAAGAGAAAATTCTGAGATTAAATTCAGACTTTAATCTCGTAATTCAGACTTAACGTCATACTTATTACTTACTGTTTTCTTAGAATACTGATTTGAGATATTTTTTTATGACTAATCTCAAAATTTAGAGATAAAAGTCCAAAAAATATTCTGAGATTAGTTTTAGAATTTTGACTCTAAAGTCAGAATTATGAGGGGAAAAAAGATTCTTGAGAATAAAAAAATTCTGAGGTTAAATTTTGGCTAAAATCTCAAAATC